TCGGTCTCGAGTCGATACAAAAATAACAAACCGTTCAATCAAACCTTCCAACAACTATTCAATGCCTAAGACAAGTAAACATTCCAAAAACCTTGGGCTTAAGGCTCCAATCATGCTTGTTGGACCTTTGAAATCCATTAACATGATCTTTGGGCCCCAGGGATAACGATAATATATGTTATTGGGCCTTCTATGACCCAATTCCATATAAAGGGACCTTCAATGGCTTTTAAGTGCTATTGGGCCCTAGTGGTCCATTGGTATTGCTAGTAAGGTCAAAGTAATCAAATGCGAGATGGTCCAACGTGTCCTTCGCATTCCCAACAGCCTAAAGTAACTCACGGATGTAGCAAGACTTTGTACTCCTCTTCTCCTCGTTTGCTAGGCTTATGAGTAATCAAAGTAAACAGATTCAGGTTGTTAATCAATAGTAATCAAGGTTGTTTGGATTAAGTGAGTGATAACGAGCGACGCCTTTAAGGATCTTTCGTAGTATGTAGTTATAACTAGTCATTATTAATGCATGATTATAACGACTCACAACCCTTAATTAAACCAACACCACCCGAGTAATCAAGGAAGAGTAATCAATAATCATTCGTCGTAGCGGTATAGCAATTTGTAAACAAGTATATCTTGCGTTATCGGAAAACATCGGGTTTTTCGAGGAAATCAACACCACTCGCTTGTAATTTCTATAACTATAATACAAAACTCCCTTTTTATACACGTTTTGAAATCATTCATGCATTAACTTATAGATCTCCACACTTTGATAAACAACTGTCTTTTCAGAAAATATCGGATTTTCTGGGTTTTACAAACTACACAAATCATTTTTATCACAACATTGCTTATGAACTCACCAACATTTCATATGTTGACGTTTTCCAAAATAACTTGTATTCTCAGGTAACAGGTAAGCTGAAGGGTAATATCAAGTAATGTTAGGATGTTATGTTTTTGAAAACTCTCAAACAATTTATGTTATGAATGTGTAATATTTAAAACGATGTTCTGGATGTAAACAATATCAGTTGTAATGTATTGATGCATGGTGATGTTTATGTTATGATTCATGTATATTCGTTGTGATGATATTCAATTTAAGTCACGCGAGCCCTCGGACGATTCTGCCGTCTGGTTTCGGGGGTGTGACACGCAAACAACATTTCCATCATTTACAACAGTATGGAATCGACCTCATACTTGGTTGTAATGGCTTCATCTGGGTTGGTGAACATGTCGAAACTAAAGATAACATGGTAGAAGACGAACCGATTAAATCCCCAAACAAATCACAAACAACCCTTGAAGAACAAGAATACACCTACACTCCATTAGAAACAGGCAAAACATATGCAAGATTGCAAATGCTATCAGGGTGTTGTCAACATTGGGATTTAGCATTACACTCGATGTGATTCAGGAGGTTGTTGATCTGAGCAGCTCCAAGGGCCTGAATATACATGAGATGCTTCCTGCTGAGTTTTCTGTCTTGGTTGCTGAAAGAGAAGCTGAGCGAAGAAGCTCCTCAACCTCAACTCGAAGAAAACGATAAATTCATATATATATATATATATATATATATATATATATATATATATATATATATATATATATATATGACCATTAAATAGTTTCTACTCCTTACTCCTTAATACAAAACTAATCTGTATCATTCCTATTGAAGGATTTATTTGGTTGTGGAATGTGGATCAACTTGAATTTTTACTCTTTTTTCTTTTACAGCTGTAACAATTTTGTTTCTGCTAGCATTTGCATTTCATGAAAATTACAACACAGTTTATATCTTTTACTTGTAAATGCTTGATTTTCTTGCAGCCATTATGAATTTATGATACATGATAGGTGTGCAGCTGTAATGAAAATATGTCAAATACTCACTTAACTCGAAGTAGGCAGGGTACCCATACAGTTAAGAGGAAGAAATGGTCTTTAGAGTTGTAGGTTATTTTTTAGTGCAAGGTAAAATGACGGTTTATTTGATGTAAGAATCTAAAAAACCCCCCTAAAAAATGAAAAAGAAAAAAAGAAAAACTTATATAAAAAAATCTAATATTGTCTTCCAACAATTATTTAGGTGTTTATCTTTTGGGAAATATAAAAAACTTGAAGGAAGTCGGTAAACTACAAAATATGTTATATGACTAGTTCTATATTTTGGTTTAGGTTATAGAAACGACATTTTTGGGCTGTTTTCCATTTTAGGGGTTTTATTAGGTTTTGTTCATTTCTATTGGGTTATTGCCAATGGATTATTAAATTTTCCTTATATTTTGTGATTTCTCATTACTATATTTATATGGGTGTCGAAATAGTATACAGTCATAGAAGACGGACTAAATAAAATATAAGTCATTAACGAGGGGCCAATTTCACAGATGAGTCATAGAAGAGGGACTAAATCAAATATAAGTCATATATGAGGGACCAAATTCACAGTTAAGTCATAGGAGAGGGACTATATCACAGATATAATCAAAAGAGTGAAGTGGATTACTCCTTGTACTTACGATTACAACTATCTGCTCCTCACGTCGACTCTACCCTGCTCGCCGTCGCCTCCCCTTTTGAAGTCACCGGCCGGAGACATTCGATAGCCACAACTCCGTCGCACCCAACCCCAGGTTCCATTCTTCCTTCTTTTCTCTTCTTTATTCTTTTTTCTGCTTTCTTTGAAATCGCCAATTGATGTTGTTGGTCGATTTCATTTTATCCAAAAGGTTTTCTTTTCCTGTGATTTCATTCTTCACATACGAAATTTCTGTAGTATTTTTTTTTTAATATCAATCGTCAAGTTCAAGTTCTTCCCTGGAATTCTGTTAGGTGATTTCTTACTTTCATTGATAATTGATTTCTACGACTATTTTGCTGCTACTGATTTGCTAATTGTGTTTAATGTTTCAATGTATGAAATCTGATGTGTCTAGTGTTCTGTAAAAAACTGGAATGTGTTTGCATGCGATCTGTTTGATCAAATGCCTGAGAGGGATAGTACTTATGCATGTTTTCAATTATCAATTCTAATATACATATTTTAATGTTTAACTTTTGAATTTTTATGTTGGTAACTTGGGAATGAACAATAGATGCTACAATAGATGCTACGGAGTTGCTACTGATTTCCTCCTAGTGTTTCTGAATGATGTTCCTAAGATGCTTATATGTAAAAGGAAGCATTTTTTTGGTCATTTTACACATATAAGCAGTTTTTTTTGCCAACCACTAAAAAGTGTTTATCAGTTTATAGCGTTTTGATACCTAATAAACTAATCCAAACACTTTTGTAGAAAGTCAATTTTGACACCGCTGGAAGCTAATAAGCTATAAGTTAAAAGGTGCTTATCATTTTAAATAAGCTTAGCCAAACACCCTCTTAATATCACTGCTTGTTAGCAATTTGGAACAGAAATAGAAAAGAATAGAAGGGATAAACTATTAACTCAATTACAAGCTCTATCATAATCGCTATTTCTGTAACCGTTACATTTCTATGTTTCTTCTAAACAGTTATCCTTGAATCATCTGTTTCGTGTTCGCAGTTTCGTGTACATTTCTGTATGTTGGATTGTTGTTCAGCTTTCAAATCTTCTTGTCACTGATTATCCTTAGGGTTTTATTTTTCTGCTTGTGTTGAATTTATGCTTAAAGTTTACAATTTGGAAGAGAAATAGAAAATAATAGAAGGCATGTATGCCTATAGCATCATGTATTATCATAATCTTTCTTTTAGAAGTTACATTTCCATGTTTTTTGTACACAAAGGACCTTGAATTCATCTGAATGCATTTGTAGTTTTGTTCTACACTTTCGTGAACAAACCTAGTTTATGTATGTTCAATGCACGGTTCAAATTTCTCATCTTTTTTGTAGTGTTTATCCTTAAGCTTCTTAATTTTCTGTTTATATTGCATTTATACCTAATATCATCGTGTATTAACAGTTCAAGAGAGAGTTATAGGTATTATCATAAGTCCATAACTATCATCATAATTGTTAAACTATTTTTTTTCTGACAAAAATGCAAAAATGGTCCCTGTGGTTTGTCATTTTTTGTGGATATGGTCCAAACCTTTTGAAAATTGGATTTTTGGTCCTTATTGAGAGATTTGTGTGTGGTGGAAAGGTCCCTGGAGTTAACCACCGTTTGTTTTTGGCGTTTTAAACCCCTCATGTGCATTGCACACGAGGGCATAATGTCTTTTTACTCGAAAGGAAACGATGGCATAAATAATCCTGTACCTCACAATTGAAATAGATAGTGTACAGTTTCTTCAACCCAATACAACACTCAATCAAAACAACACTCAACCCAAACACTAACCTGATAAAATCAACAATCCAAACAACCAACAACAATTGAACCCTTATAGTAAAAATTGATTGATTTTTTGTGTCTGTTTGCATCTTCATTCCCAGCCAAGAACAAATTGGTTCTCGTTCTTGTGTATACTTGCAACAAAACAAGAAGGAGCTTCATGGAATCCCTTTTTCCCTCGACCACAGCAACCCAACACCACCAGTCGTCTCGCACAGCTCCACCACCATCTTCCTTCCATTATTGTGACCGGAAAAGAAAGAGAAGAAAACACTGGATTAAACCCGCCCAACAACCCTCTCAACCCACCCTCGGGCCTCCCTCGTTGTCACAGAACACCACCAAGACCGACGAGACCCCGACTGCTTCCATTCTCTCTTCGTCCAGCCAAGCACCACCGATAATGGCGGTGTTGTAATGAACCGTCGAGGAGCTACCCCTCTCCTCTGCCGAAAACATCTCCCCAAAACACCCCTGATATTGTCGTTCTCCCTCCCTCTTTCCTCTTCATTTACAGTCGAAGAGCCTCCACCAGAGTCGAGGTTTGTCGGCGATCAAGAGGGCATGACCCTCTTAAGTTTCCCTTTGCTCCTAGTCGGCTCCATAGCAACACACACCCCGAAAACCGTCGATCTGCCCTGTTCCTTCCCCTCTCGTGATGTGCTCACCGATCGACCCGTTTCGTTTTCTCATTCCTGATCAGACGACGATTAAAGCCCATAAGGGTCGCCGGAGATCGACGCCCTTCCCTCCCCTCGTGATATCAACCACCACTGGAGCTTCCATCGATGAATTTGGTTCGTCCGTTTCCTCTCGAGTAAATAGACATTTATGCCCTCATGTGCAATGCACGTGAGGGGTTTAACAGCCAAAAACAAACGGTGGTTAACTTCAGGGACCTGTTCCACACACAAACCTCTCAATAAGGACCAAAAATCCAATTTTCAAAAGGTTTGGACCATATCCACAAAAAATGACAAACCACAGGGACCATTTTTGCATTTTTGTCTTTTTTTTCTTGTAAACAATGAACCTGAAGTTCATCTGTTCTTCTGAGTGATGGTTCCTCATGTACTCCTTTTGAAGCCCTTGACTCCTAATTTTGCAATTTTTGTGGTGCAGATTCCTTTGTATGTGCAGTAAGCATGAAGATGATAAGCTATAATCATATTCCAAAATCAAGTATTTTAATTGTGCACCATTTGATATCTACCCTTACGTTTTGCAAGCCTCTAACACCAGTACTGATTTCAAATCAAAACCAGAAGAGAATCAATTTCATCACGAAATTACAATGTTCTGTTTCCAGTAGACCATATGCATCAAACTCATTAGACTCCAAATCAAAATCAGACTCTGTTCGTATGAACCGAAAACAAGGAGGATCCTCATCAATATACAGCCGTGCCAGCTTACTAGAAATGAAGAACGAAAGGATTGCAAATCGAGCACGTGTTTATGATTTCTTAAAAAGTATCGGTATAGAACCAGATGAGCTTGATAGGTTGGAGCTTCCTGTAACAGTTGATGTCATGAAAGAACGTGTTGATTTTCTTCACACATTAGGGTTAACAATCGAAGACATAAACAATTACCCTCTTGTCCTTGGTTGCAGTGTCAAGAAAAACATGATCCCAGTCCTTGATTATTTAGGTAAGTTGGGTGTTAGGCGATCTACTTCGACAGATTTCTTGAGAAGATACCCTCAAGTTCTTCACGCCAAGTGGTAGACCTTGCACCTGTTGTTAAATATCTAGAAGGCATGGACATCAAACCAAATGACCTCCTAGTTTCTTGAAAAGTATCCGGAAGTTTTGGGGTATAAAACTTGAAGGACAATGAGCACATCTGTAGCTTATTTGGTGGGAATTGGAGTTGCACAAGAAGAGAATTGGTGGGGGTTTTGACTCAATATCCAGTGATTCTTGGAATGAGAGTTGGAAGAGTGATTAAACCCTTTGTTGATTATCTTGAAAGTTTAGGAATACCAACATTAGCTGTTGCCAGGCTAATCGAAACACGACCCCACACTCGGGTTCGGACTTGAACAAAAAAGTCAAACCAAATGTCAACTCCCTAAAACAATTTCGTGTCAGGGAGGCGTCTATTTCTCTGTCATTGCACAGTATCCTGAAATTATAGGGTTTGGACCTTGGGTCAAGGTTGCTGAAACAACAAAGCTTCCTCAATTCCATAATCGATTTCAGTCATGAAGATTTTGGGAAAATTATCGAGAAAATGCCACAGATTGTGAGCTTGAGTAACACACCGGTTATCAAGCATGTGGAGTTTTTGAAAAATTGTGGGTTCTCATTAGATCAAGTGAAAAGGTCTCATCATAGTCAACAAAGGGTTTAATCTTAGCCACTGGCGAGAAGGTCTCATCATAGTCAACCCCTGGGGTTTGAGTGAAACCTTTTGCAACCAGTCGAGCCTTTGAATGTGTGCACATTTCCATCCATGTCTGTCTTCTTCTTGAAGATCCCTTTGCACCCACTGTCTTACGACCTGGTGCACTATCAACCAAATTCCAAACTTGGTTGTCATACATGGACTTAATCTCGCTGTCCATTGCCTCTTTCCACTTGGAAGCCTCTGGTCCTGCCATTGCTTCCTTATAAGTGACTGGTTCATCTAAGTTTACCAGTGTTCTGTCACTTATGAATGTGTCACCATCTGAAGTAATATGAAAACCATACAACTCAGGTGGCACACTCACCCTAGTGGATCTTCTAAGAGGTAATGAGTTATCGATTGGTTCAACAGGAACTGTTTCCTCTTGGTTGAGGTTAGTGTCATCTAAGGTTCCTTCATTGGCTGACTCTTGAATTTCTTCAAGGTCAATAGTGCTCCCACTGTCCTCTTTGAATATGAGATCTCTTTCAAGAAAGACTCCTATTCGTGCTACAAAGACCACGTTTTCACTAGGCCTGTAGAACAAATATCCAAAAGACTGCTTTGGGTAACCAATGAAACCACATTTCTCACTTCTAGCTGCTAGCTTGTCGTGAGTCTCTCGTCTTACGAAAGCTTCACAATCCCAGACTTTAATATGTGCTAACGAGGAAACTTTCCCTGTCCACTTTCGTGAGGTGTTTTGGCAACTTCTTTGTAGGGACAAGATTGAGGATGTGGGCGGCTCTAAGGCATACCCCCAGAAGTGAATGGGAAGCGAAGCCCGACTCATCATAGAACGAACCATGTCTAACAAGGTTCGATTACGCCTCTTAGCTACACCATTTAACTGTGGTGTCCTAGGAGGAGTCAATTGTGAGACTATCCCACATTCTTTCAGATAGTCGTTAAACTCGATACTAAGATACTCCCCGCCTCTATCGGATCTAAGTATCTTTATCTTTCTGCCCAATTGATTTTCGACTTCATGCTTAAACTCTTTGAACTTTTCAAAAGTTTCTGACTTATGCTTGATCAAGTAGATATATCCATATCTGCTATAATCGTCAGTGAAAGTCACATAGAATCGATTAGCATCTCTTGTAGTGATCTGAAGGGCCCACACACATCTGTGTGTATGAGATCCAACAGACCTTCACCTCTTTCACAAGACCCTGTGAATGGTGATTTTGTCATCTTTCCCAAAAGACAAGATTCACACATATCATCTGATTTTAGGTCAAATGATTCCAACACTCCATCCTTTTGGAGTTGGGCTATGCGTTTCTTTTTAATGTGTCCAAGACGACAATGCCACAAGCATGCCTTGTCTACACTATTAGACAAGTCAATATTAAGTACACTATTTCCTAAGCTATCAACACAAGTCACTGTTTCATACACACCATCACAAGGTAAAGCTTCAAACATAAAAACACCATCCTTATAAACAGAAATTGAACCATTCAAATCATTAAAAGAATATTTGAAACCTTGTCTGAACAATGCATGAAATGAAATAATGTTTCTCGTCATCTCAGACGAATAGCAACAATTTATTAAATCTAATCTAACATCATTGCTAAGCAGAAGCTGATAAACTCCGATCTGGTCACTGGTGAAGACTTTCTGTTTCCCATGATCAAGTTTATCCTTCCTCGCTCTATCTCCTCACTTTCCTTTAGTCCCTGCAAATCAGAACAGATATGAAAACCACATCCTGTATCAAGGACCCATGAACGAGAAGATAATGAGTTATTAGCAGAAATAGTGTAAATACCTGCCGAAGATGGCTTCACTTTGCCATCCTTGATATCTTGCAGATATTGTGGGCAAGATCTCTTCCAATGCCCCTTTTGATTGCAGTAAAAGCAAACGGCCTCTTTTGGATCAGAAACATGGGGAGTGGAACCATTGGGCTTAGCCTTTGGGCCATTACTAGATGACCCAGCTTGAGCCTTGCTCTTTCAGTTTTTCTTGGGAGGACCTTTCCTCTTTTTCCCCTTTCCCTGTCCAATAGCCAACATAGGGGCACTTGTAGGCGTGGAGGGTATACTTTTACCCTTCATTCCTGCCTCAGCTGTCTGCAACAAGTTGTGCAATTGGGCCAAGGTCTGCTCAGTATTGTTCAAATGGTAAGTTAGAATAAACTGACCATAACAATCAGGTAGTGAGTTCAAGACCATGTCAATGGCCAATTCCTCATCAAAGTGAATGTTGAGCTTGACCAAACGCTCTATGTAGTGTTGCATTCTTTGCACATGTGACACAACCGATTCCCCTTCTTTCATCTTGCAAGCCATGAGTGACTTGACTACTTCAAACTTTTCTTGACGAGCTCGTTTATGGTACTTTTCCATAAGGTCCTTGTTCATTCAAAAGGCCAGTAGTCCTCATAGTACCTCTGCAGTTCTGGGGACATGATTGCCACCATGATGCATCCACTTTGGTAGCATCATCGTAATGTTTTTGTAGGCAGCAAGATCTTCAGGGAGTAGCTTCAGACTCATCAAGCTCTTTGAGCTCCTTTTCAAGAACATATTCTTTGTTCTCAAAACGAAGAGCCATCTTGATGTTGCGCATCCCATCGTTATAGTTTGAGCCATCCATAACGACTTTGGAGCAGATATTGAGCAAAGAGAAGTTCTGGTTGGAGGAGGATGAAGCAGAAGTGTTTCCATGAGTAGACATCTGAAAAGAAAGAAAGTTTTAGTTAGATTTCAAGATACCTTAATATAATAACCCAAGATATAAAATATCAAGGTTAGGATCCAACTATGAAGATTCACAACTTAGAAATGGGATGCCGAGATCCAAGTGTAAATTTCATAAAGGTAGGTGAATGACGATTCACCAATTCCACCATTAGACGAAATAAACGAAGTGAAATTCCTAATTCTTTTGAGATACATTGAAACTATTCAATGACATGTTTTAATCTCAGATTATGCTCTTCTATTTGTGACTGGGATGCCGAGGATCACAAACAAGATGTGAATAACCATGCAAATGTGCTTGGTAACCTCATTGTCTTTATCATTAACTATTGATGTGCTGGTAAACCACACACGCTCCATCAAAATGACAATTATGAGATACCCATTACTACTCTTTATTAGTGCCCTTTAGTGTGCTGGTTAACCACACACGCTCCACTAATGACCAATAAAGCATAATGTGCAATTTCATGGATTAGCATACTTTTCACATTTTTCCTAAAGTAACTAGAGTTGGGATTTTAAAAATAATGTTCTAGTACTTTTTTAATGTCATTTACTTTTAATGAGAAGTAGTTGTCCTATCAAATCCGTTCTGCTAACGACCCTCCACTAATCAAGGAAGCGGTGGGTGAGAGTGGACACCCATTCAACTACCATTTTATAGGCAGTTTCCATTTGACTGACCATATTCTTATACATATATAATATTAAACTTTTAATCATAATACATATATAGGGTGTGTTTTAAAACATTTTAAAACTTCAAGGGTTTATATAAATTCGAAATTCAACTATATTAAATTTAAATTTAAATAAACCAATTAACTAGATTTAATATTTATCTTTTAATTAACTATTAATCAATTATTAAAATTGTAAGGATTATCTAATTAAATTAATCAATTAATTTAATAATAATCCTTATCCCTCTAAATTTCGAAAAATAGGGTAAGGATAATTATCCAATTAATCTAATTAAGTAGCAATTATCCAAAACAAGAAACCCTAAAACTTCTAGCAATTTCGAAATTTACAAGGGAGGAGGCTAGGGTTTTCAAAACCCTAACCCTAATTTCGATTAGGGTTCTTTGGAGGCTAGGGTTTTCGAAAAAACCCTTTTATCCAAAACCCTAGAAATCGAAAATTTGGCCTTTAGGGTTTAATAGCAATAAACCCTAATTTGCAATTCAACAATTATAGCAATTCAATTTAAAACAAACAATGGCTCTGATACCACTGATGGGTTTTAGGTAAAACAAATAAACTAGAAAAACAATTCCTAAGTTCACATGCAACCTACTTTGGATCTATGTTTTAACTATTGAACATATAACTTTGAATTGCAAAACAAGAACCCTAGAGGAGAGAGGCTAATTTCGAAATTAACAATCTAGGGTTTAGGAGTTACATACATTTCAATTGTTATAGCAAACAATTGATAATCCTCTTGAACTTGATCTTGATCTTCTTGGAAGCTTAGCACCACAAATGTAATGCCTCTAATGGAATCACACCCAAGAACTAGCAAGAAGGAAACTTGGAGGAGAGAGGATGGAGAGAGTATGCAATTTCGGCCTTAGGGTTTCTTCCAAAGAAATCAGTGACCTCAAATGTGA